AAAGTGAATTTTGCCCCATTTTACGACATTTCACAACTGTGGGGTTGCTTTCATCTGGACTTTCAACAAAAGGTCAACATCCAATTGGGGAACAGAGGATTTTAGAAATAAACCCTGACTTAAGGGATAGTGCCACTAAGAGAACTTCAGATTCCTGTATCACTGCATTAACTACATGAAAGGATTCTGGAAAGGGATGGGCTGCACTTTACAAGAATGGGGAAGAATATTTGCAAAACGACTGGCTCAACTTATTCAAAGGGCTTTAAACTAAAAATGAGGGATGGACTGACCAATCTTTAGGTCCGAATCCAAAATATGAACGCCCAAGGCAACCAATTGAGCAAGGAAGTAGGGAATAATGGGAAGGAAGAAAAATTCTGATGTAAGGCAGGAGATGTAGGAAGCATACCCAGGGTCAGTCGTAAAGAACTCGGATGCCTATACATTAACACTCAAAGTTTGGGAGATAAACAGGATGAACTTGAAGTATGAGGACAGGTATGATATAGTTGCCATTACCAAAACTTGGTGAGATGAAATTCATGACTGGAATGTACTGCTGGAGGGATATAAACTGTTCAAAAGAAACAAGAGGCAGAATTGATTATATGTAAAAAAATAATCACTGCATATAACCAGGAGTGAAAGCCGCCTTAAATGCCTATGAGTATAAAAGGAAAAAAGAATGATGTAGGTATATACTATAGGCCACCCAACCAAGCAGACGAAATAGGTGAACCTTTTGCTAATGAATAAAGTAGGTATGAAACACACCCAATAGTAATGGTGGACTTGCAGCAAACCCTTCATCAAGTGGAAGATCGAACAGGTTCCTTATGAGTCTAGCTGATAACTTTGTCATTCAAAAGGTAAAGGGGGGTACTAGGAACTCAGCTACACTAAACTTAATTCTTATTAACAGAGAAGCTAGTAATGATATAGGGGGGTTGAAGTTGCAGGTACTTTACGGGTGACCATGTTATATTGGAATATAAAGTAGACACAAGAAACACAACAAAATCAAACTGGTGTCTTAAGACTTTAAAAGAACTGGTTCAACATACTCAGAGTTTGGGAAGATTCCCATGGATGAAAAATCTTAAAGAGGAAAACAATTCAAGAAGATTGGGAAACTCTGAAAAATGTGATTATAAAAGTCCAGTCCACCACAATACCACTGAAAAAGTAGATAAGAAATCCAAGAAGAAACCAGCATGGTTGCATAAAGAATTCACTGCTAAAGTGAAAGACAAAAAGGATAAGTAAACAACATGGAAAGAGGGACACATAAATGAGGCAGAATATCAGCATATAGCCCAAGCTAAGGCTCAGAATTAACTAAGGCTTGAAACAAATGTCAAAAATAATAAAAGTTTCTTTCAACATATAAAAAATAAGAAAAAAGTCAAAGAAACAGCTAGTTCACTAATGAGAGAAGGTGGCAAGGAAGTGATAGGCATCAGGGAGAAAGCAGAGCTGCTTAATTCATTCTTTGCAGCTCTCTTCACACAAAAGTAAAAAAATAGCCCAATCTACCAAAAAAAACAACCATAAAAGACTGACTAGGAATACAAATTAAAAAGCAAGAAAATGGTAAGAGAATGCCTGTCCACCCTAGATGAGTTCAAATCACCAGTACCAGATGGATTACATCCCAGAGTTCTGAAGGAGATGGGAGATTTGATCTCAGAACCATTGAACCAAATATTTCAAAGATCCTGGAGCACAAAGGAATAGCCAGCATCTCAGAAGATAGGCTCAAGATCCAAAAGGACCTTGACAGACTTGAACACTGGGGCCTATCAAACAAAATGAAATTCAGTGGTGAGAAAAGTAAAGTTTTACAGTTAGGCAAGAAAAACCAAATGTATCTGGGTCAATAGCTGCAAGAGGGATCTTAGAATCCAGTGGACCACTTAAATATGAGCCAGCAGTGTGCTGCAGCCATCAAAAAAGCCAATGTAATCCCAGACTGTATTAACAGAGGGATCGAACCAAGACCACATGAAGTAATACCACTTTATAATGCCTTGGTAAGACATTTGGAATACTACATCCAGTTTTGCGCATCACAATATAAAAAAGATGATGAGATTCTGGAAAGAGTGCAGAGAAGAGCAACAAAGATGACTAGGGGACTGGAGGCTAGAATATATGAAGAACGATTGCAGGCATTGGGTAAGCCTAGTCCAGTGAAAAGAAGGATTGGGGTGACATAATAGCAGTGTTCTAATATTTGACGGGCTACCACAAAGAAGAGGCCAAACTATTCCCCGAAGCATCAGAAGGTGGACAAAAAGCAATGGATGGAAACCAATCCATGAGAGAACCAACCTGGAATTAAGGAATTTCTCGACAGTGAGAACAATTAAATCAGTGGAATAACTTGCCTTTAGAAGTTTTGGGTGCTCCATCATTGGAGGTTTTAAGAAAAAAGTGAACAACCATTTCTCATGATAAAAGGTCTCCTGCTTGTGCAGGGGATTGGACTAGAAGACCTCCTAGATACCTTCAGACACTGCCCTTCTGTATGAGTGCAGTTGTTAAGTTAGTAACATGGCTGTTAAGTGAGTCTGGTGGCTTCACCATTGGCTTTGTTTGTCAGAAGATTGCCAAAGCTGATCATACGACCCTAGCACACTGCAATTGTCATAAATATGAGTCAGTTGCCAAGCTTCTGAATTTTGATCACTTGACCATGGGGATGCTACAGCGGTTCTGTGAAAAACAGTCATAGGTCACTTTTTTCAGGGCCATTGTAACTTCAAATAGTCACAAAGAGTTGTAAGTTGAGGATTGCTTGTAATGGATAGTGTGGCTCCCACAGCATAAACATTTACTACAATAATATTGATACAATAGCATATTATGCAGCAATTCTTTGGTCTCTCTTTCTAGTTCTAGTTCCTATGCAGGGAAAGGTCATGGGCCTTGGCCCCTTATAATTACCCAAGCACCATAACACGTACAAAAGTAATAGAATATAAGAAACACTTAAAAATTATGCTTACACATTAATAGCTCTACACTGAGGAAAAAGCATGATCTGCTTGGTTCCAGCATTCGAGTAGAAACCTATTTCTGCTTGTTTCTATGAACCCCGTCTGAGAAACAGCTATTATGTTCAACTCTTGAATTAGATCCTTTCATTTGAAAGATGTAACTAAACTATGCCTAATTAGTGATCTAATTTACTCCAAACACAAGAGTAGAATGATGCTTGTTGCCCTCATTCTCAGCTATTCTCAGCTATGAAATTGTGAAAAGGACTGTAGTTTCTTATACATTACTCAGAGAATCTTGATTAATCAGGCCTGCATGAGGAAACTATGAGTATACTATTTTGTGTTAGCCGAGGGCATCACAGGGATTCTATATCCCTTGAGTACAATCATACTGAGAAAAGGAAGAGATAAATGAAGAAACTCAAAACTGTGTGCATCTCAGTTGCCCTTCTAAAAGTTCAAACCGACAATCTGATTTCCATTACATTATTCCACAGGCATCTGTGCTGTTTTGGTAATATTTCCATACTGCTTGATGATCTCCCAAGTAGAATCACCTTTAAGCTATCTGGTACAGATTATAGCTTTTGATACAAAGAACTATATTAATGCCCCCGAGTCTGGGAGAGTTCCAGTTGGACTAAAAAAACAACACTATGTTGGATGACAACTGTGTCATCTGGAAATAATTTGTGTACAGATTGCTGTACAGTTCTGGGCAAAAAAGCAGCCAATGATTGTCAGTTAAACCTTCCAATTAAAGAAAACAGTGTAAAAGTGTCATTAAGCTATGATTTATTTTTCAAACTATTTTAATTTAAGGATAACAATAGCAAAGATCTTGTACTATGAATTTATTTAAAAATTAGTATGTGGCAAATTTTCATTACAACACAGCTTTATTGCGCAGTCCAGTAAAATGCACAGGTCATGCGATCTAATTTCTGATTAGGAAGCAAATGTATATTTATTTCCTACTAATGTGTGTGTGGTAACCAGCTATATTGAGGATGAACTGTAGCTATCATTATTGCAACCTTGATACATATTTAAATAGCCCTTACTTCCTTGTAGGTTTATGTAGTCTGCATGTGTCAAAAATGATTCAAAAGTAGTGCTTTAGAAACTGTACAAGCACAGCACTTTTCTGCTATTGACAAAAGCAGCAAGGAAGGTGTTTTTTTTTCCAGATTTCCATGCAAGATGAAAAGAAGATATGGCTGTTGTACTTGCTCCAAATCATATTTATTGCATAAACATCTTAGTGTGCTGATGCCCATAATTCCAAAGAATATAATGATCGACTCTATCTGGGGAAAAATTATCATTATCTTCTTAATAAGCATTTTGCCATCAACCATGTTGTAGTCAAGACTTGGTTTAGAAAGCTGCACAAAGTTATGTATACATATACCTAGGGAAATGCACACTCCAATTCGTAATAGATTAGGTTTATGTATGCATTATCTCAGATGCAAAAGATGCAGTAGAAGTCACTTCTGAAACAATTTAAACAAAATGTTGATAAATGCTGCTTAGGTTCCCTGAATGTAGCACTTCACAAATCAGCCACAAAAGATTATCTCACTGTAATCTCAGAATCAGCATTTTTCAGCTGAAGAATACAGTTCTGGCTGAAAATTGCTAAGAATTTACTGACCATGCAACGTAAGATAAGTTGAAGTACACATTGGTAGAAACATTATTCAAGAATATAAAATTAATATTTCCACTGTTTCAATTTCCTGTCCTCAAAATCCTACTACTTTCCAATGATTTTTCTTTAAAAAGTGGTACATTTAAGTGATATCATTACCTAAAATGTGGAAATTTATATTATAGGACAGTATATTATAATATTTTTTCATATATTATTGTTAAAAAGCCCAAACTAGCTAGGGGTAATAAACACATTATTATAGAAAGATAAAGTTGTCTGAATTTTTAATCTTTTGTTCAGAAAATCTGACAACAGAAGATTTACGAGAAACAGCTACATGAAAAAGAATTAAGTAGTCGCCATCCATTCAGTTTCTTTACATTATCCATAGGACTTAAAAACTTCTTGGTTGAACATGAAAAAAAAGTTCTGAATTTCACCAACCGATTGAAAACTTGTACAAACTGTTTCTGAAGACAGTAAAGAAAAAGTCTTCAAATCAATAAGTTACAGTTTATATTTCATTTTAATCAACAGTTCTCAGGGGATCATTAAAAAAAATTGGCAACCTGGTTAAGTTATATTTTAATGAAGTGAAGAGAAGTTGACCCAATCTCTGCATGGTACAAAGTTATACATGATATACATCTGTAAATTTGAATGCACTCTTAGTATTTGTGTGTAGCTGATTATACAGAATAATAAAACAGTGAATATTGCAGAATAGAACTTTCAATTACCCATCAACTTAATGTAGAAGATAATATCCAGTCATAAAAGAAATTGAAGCTACATTGAGGATGGATATTTCAATAAGGTAGTAATCTGACATATATCCTCAAATTGACTGTAAATTATTATGAAAGGTTCTTCAAGCAGCTTCACATTCTCCAGACTTCATTACATTTGGAAATCTATAGGGTGTTCTAAAATATGCAATGCATGTAAGCAATCCTAAGAAAATTTCTGAGTTACAATAATTCTACAAGGAAGAGTAGTATAAGTTTCAGAAGCACAAAGAGAAAAGTTTAAAGTTGTTTACACCTGAAAATTGTTTTTCCTGTTGAACTAGGTGTTACAAAATGTTAACTAAAAGAACATTCAAAATTCTGCCTCTACCATAATCAGTTTTCATTGTCTTTGAATTTGTAAACAGATGCATATATAGTAAGCCTGCGTTTAAATTTTCAGTAAAATGCTTGCTTAACGTTGTATACTGTAAAAGTTATAGCAACTTTTGTCCACCTAGTTAACCAAAACGTGCAGTGTTGCCTAAGCTTTTGCATTTAACAGTATATACACATTTAAGTGAAACTACATAATTTATATAGATTTATTTTCATACTTTGGACATTTGAAAATTACATTTGATTCATCCTGTCTGCAGATTCTAAATGCATCCTTTTTTTTCCAGCTGATGTATTCATTTTTAAACTGAGGCATTCACAATTAATACATTGGATCAGCCTGATGAGTACTCAGATGGAGTCCTTCAGAGATTGGACTGGAGATTACAGCAGAAATAAAAAAAGAAATCCTGAAGGCAAAGCAATCCACTTCCATACTGTTGCTAAGTAAGTTACAGGGCTGCATTCCTGAAGTCATCTGGACTTGTGCTCAGCTTCAAGAACTATGCCTTTTTTAGATTATCTACAACCTTCACAATGAATTGGCCATATGAATCTTTTACAACGGTTTTGGTTTGCAGTATTTCAAAGAAATTATTCGAGTCCACTTTCCAAAGTTTTATACTTATCAAATTTAAAATACAAAAGCAGATTAAACAGTTTTGTGAACTTTTTAAACTGGTATTTGGATAACAATTTAAATGGCTTTTTGATTCAAGTTCTTACAAACATGCAAACATACATATAACTCTAAATCTTTACAAAGTATTATTTATAAAATTAAATTTCCTTTTCTGTCTTTCTCTCTCCTCTACTCCATATAAAATTACATGCATGTGCACTGTTACATCTTTATACAGATTAAGATATTAATCTCAAATTTTTACTGATTAAAAGTTTCTGAAGCCAAGAAAAGCAATATACAATATCTATCTGTCTGTAGCCATGGATACCATGTACACTTTCCAAGCATTCAGAAGAAAACTAAAGAAACTGGACATAGTTTTGTGGAATGAGTCCTCTCTTCCCATTTAGAGTTCCTTCTAGCCAGCCAGGTTCTCGTGAAAGATGCACTGAAGAACACAGAAAAAGAGAAGAAAATGTGTTAATTGGGGTAATGTATAATTTATAAAACTTTTCCAGAATTGTACAACCAATATTTCACATAAGCAAATTAAAATCAATCTTTTGAATCTCCATTTTCCAGGAACATGACAAAGGTATATGAGAATCATATAAGTCTATGGTGGCAAAAAATTAAGAGGAAGAAGTTAGTATTTTCCAACTAACCCAGCTTATTTTATCAAAAGGCATACACTTTTATAATATTCAGCTCATTTTATCAGATGCACAGTGAACCTGAAGCAGATTCTCACAACAAACATGGAAGGAGACAGCGCCATAATCCCAGAGGTCTACTTGCTACCTGATCTACTCCAGTAACACCATCACTAAACAAATACATGTACAAGATTAAAGGAATCTACACATACTCTCCATCATATGTGATATATTCCAATATATCTGCAAACTGTATGGATTTTATGTAGAACTGGACAAATTTTCCTCAAAGAATTAACGAACAGAAGTTTGGCACCACCAGGACTCCAAATGAGGCCAAAGTAGTATCAGAAGCTGTTTTGAAAAAGCAGGATTAAGTCCATCACTTAGCAACAAACTGTTGAATTTGCATGTATCTGAAGTTTTTGGCAATATCAGAACATCTCAATAAACACAATGAATTTTAAACACATTACTATTATTGATTAATTATATATCATACAGATGTAATCTGTTTTACATGCCATAACCCTAATTTCCAATCTTTTTCCTCATCAAGGTTTTATCCAGATTTAAATCCTACATCTTTAACTAGCCATTCTGATGAAGTGAGCTTCAACTCATGAAAGCTTATGCATTTTAATAAAATGTATTATTCTAAAACAAAGATACCAGATTCCTTAGAACTAAAATACTTTAAAACATCAGAAATATTCAGAATCAGTAGTACTTTCTGATCTTACAGATCTAAATGGTAATATAAAAATCAATGGGCCTAATATATCACAATACTATTGCAACAGAAAATATTTTAGAATACTTTGATTTTGGAGCTACTGTATTAGTTGAAAAATCTAATGATTGTCACTGGACCCTTTTGCCTCTGAAGTATTCTCTGCATCTCTGAGAGAGATTTGGAGTATGACTCAATTTTTCCAGTTATATTTAAGATATTAAAGCTAAGTTATTAAAAGACTTGAAAAAGACAACAATTCAAGCACTTTAAAAACCTAATAAAAATGAATTATAAATGAAATGTCTCAGAGGAAGCTATTGAGCACTTTTTTCTTCCACTTTGCAAAGTGGAACAGATTCTCTTTTCAGAATAAAATGTAACAATAATAAGCTATAGTGGTATATAGTGGTAGCAGACTGACTTGCAGCTGCTTAAAGAAAAGTAACTGATTTGTCTTGGGACTCTCTTCTTTGATGTCATTTTCAAATGCTAATACTGAATAAATAAAGAATAATTTGGAAGGGACCTTGGAGATCTTCTAGTCCAACCCCTGGCTTAGGTAGGAAACCCTACACCCCTTCAGACAAATAGTTATCCAACCTCTTCTTAAAAACTTCCAATGTTGGAGCATCTACAATTTCTGGAGGCGAGTTGTTCCACTTATTAATTGTTCTAACTGTCAGGAAATTTCTCCTTAGTTCTAAGTTGCTTCTCTCCTTGATTAGTTTCCACCCATTGCTTCTTGTCCTGCCCTCAGGTGCTTTGGAGAATAGCTTGACTCCCTCTTCTTTGTGGCAGCCTCTGAGAGATGGGAAACTAAAAGAAATTAAAACTGTATAGAAATTGCACCAATCCTGAAATATTGGCGGTATCCAAATTCTACCATTTTATTTGTTTCTTTGAACCCAAGTCCCTGCCCTTAATCCAATCCTTCTGAACAAAGTAACGGCTAAACTAGCTAAAAGAGAATGAAGATGTTATCCTGATTCCGGTCAAGATTTTCTCGTAAAAAATAGGTTAAGGAAGGGATAATAAATACAGGAGAGATTAAAAAGAGAATAGTATATGGAGGAAAAAAGTGGACGGGAGAGAATCTTCCTTTATGGATGTGGTGATTCATGTCAGTCAGTGATTTAACGGTTATATTAAGTGGCTGTTATTGGTAGCATGTCAATATGATAGATGCATTGTCAGTTTCATATGTTAAGTTATTGGTAGAGCAATAGAAAAGATGCATTATTCTCTTAATTTGTCATTGAAAGGTTTATTAAAGCATATGGAAGCTTAGTGACTGACCCGTATTAACTGGTTTGTGGTCTCAAGGACTGAAGGACAAATGGTTTTAAAGATTTGGTAAATAACAGCTTAATTAACAATTCTCTTTAATACTAAAATATTCTACTTACTACACTTGAAATTATTAAAAACAGATTCATTTCTGGAGCCACTTTATTTTTATCCCTGCCACTAAGGAATTTTTTGTCAGTAGAAGCAAAGATGTATCTTGGCTTCACTAATATTCAGGCTATATCTAAGTCCTCTTGTGGCCAAGATAAATAATCTAGTTCATCGTCCTCCAAAACTGAATGATAGAAACACTGCAGTTCTTCTGTGTGCAAATGATACAGTTCTGTTATTTCAGACACAAAAGGATCTAAAGCAGATTCACATGCTTAGCTGTATATTGTAGTGCATCGGCACTTAGACATAATTATTCAAAAATGAATTTATCATCAGGAAAGCTATTGGAAGGATATTAAATTTGCCTAGGTTAGACTTTTTGGATATTGTGATTTGGCTTAGATTTGACAACTCGAACCTAAGATTTGCCAGTATGTACTAAGCCAGGGGTGTCAAACTCGCGTCATCATGGCGTCGTCATGTGATGTATCACGACTTTTTCCTCTTTTCTAAACTGGGCGTGGCATGGCCAGCTCATGACATATCTGGCCCGTGGGATGCGAGTTTGACACCCCTGTACTAAGCGCTCTAAAATTCTGGCTTGGTAACACATTTTCAAGAATGTACAGATAAATGTCATGCTATTAATAAATGCAGGGCACATGTGGATTGTGTTTTCCAAAATGCAGACAAGTCTTGCATTATACAAGCAATGCATTATTCATATCTAGTGCACTAAATGTATTTTCAGCCAATGTGCAGGCCCAGCTTTTGTTCAGAACCCAATTGGGACCATATGGCTCTTCCACTCTTTTAAAGGGTGCTATCTAAATTCTTAAATAACAAATTTCAAGTCCCACAATGTGTTCCAAATGTGGCCTTGTTCATGATGCTGGTGGGATCAACACTGAAGCTTATATATGGACATTCATCCTCTGTTATTTCTTAAATCGATTTCTTCTCTCATGAGCTTGTTATTTCTGACTTTAAGTGTTGACTTTGTTTAATCCTGAGGCAGAACACTGCATGAAAACTGAAGTGCTCTTTCACTTAATATAATCTTGAAGATGGTATATGAATACTTAGGGGTAGATTTTAAACAACATGTCCAGGATTAGGAAGCCAATCGCACCTCACTGCCATACTCAAATATGTATTCTTAGATGGTCATTCCCCTTTTGCAAGTTTGCCAAATTACATGATCCAAATTCAAAGACTTATCAAACTTAGGCAAATTTAACATCCTCCCAACAGTATTCCTGAGGTAAGTTGCAGGGTATCCCATCTGAAACAAAGATTTTGCCCCTGCGGTGAAGGAGTTCCTGACTCGTTTTACTGTAATTCTTCCTTTATAAAGATGCCCAACCTCAAATACTAACTTTCAATCTGGCTAGATATCTAGTTTACCAGATCCTTTTTATATATAAGCGTTACTATCCAATTCATACGATTTTATATCTATAAATGTGGCTACATTTTTTACTATCAGCAAAATCTGTTTATGTTTTAGTTTAATTATTGTTTTTTATTCTGGTTTTAACATACTATTTTGGAAACTGTGTTTTTTGTTTGATTTTGGCTGATCAATAACTGTAATAAAGTTTGTTTACTTCACCTATGGGACTTTAATATCCACAACTACACAGATAAGAATAAAACTGTGGACTCCTATGAGCAACAGCTGTTTAGAACATAGGACATTAAGGGCTTGGCTTTAAAAGTATTTCACATCTCAAAAAGGATGCAGTGGTCCTTTTAAAAGCCAGCGCTTTTTATCTTGACCTTAAGGATTGATTCCTTTCACGGTATGAAGAAAATGTCAGAAGACCAAGACCATGTCAGAGAAACTACAGCATGTTCTTTGCTTTTCTTTCACAATATAGAAAAGGCCATTTTACTGATATTCCACACAACTGATAGTGAATGGGAATTTCTGAAAGGATCTTTCCCATAGCTGATTCAATTCTGTTCAGGAAAAAAACTTAGAATAACATGCATGTAGATACAATGGTGTGGACAGATTTGTGAAGGAAAAGGAAAAGTCTTGTGATTGTGCTATTTTAATTAATCATTGTGCATTCGCATATTTTTCTTCTCAGTCTATATTCGGAACCTTCTGGAGGTGATATTTTTGGTAAGAAAAATCACATGTACATATACAAATTGTCATCCAACATTCACCTCATTTGCTTGAGTTTACTGAAGCACCATGAAATCCAAGTATCTATTAGCATAAACACTAGCAAATGGTAAACTTAGGTGGGCTATATGAATGCATGGCTGAATGAAGAACACCAGTTAAAAATGTATTTGGATGACAGTAAACTCCCTGGTCAGCATAAGAAGACAGGTGTTCATATTACACAACAACAGAAGAAAGAGCACATACCTAAGGCAGAGTGATTAGGTTTGAATTGACTTTGTGATATCAATCAAATAATACAGAAAGAAACTATTACTGTTACAAAGTGTCTTTTTGTGCCCACAGAAACATAGTTGTCTTATCACTTTAAAACATAATAGATTTTACCCATTTGGTGAAATGCATTGATTAAATTGTGTTTCCATGATACTGGTAAGCCAACCCAGATAATGTCAGAAAAAAGCAAGCCTATCAGCATAAAAGGCAACAGGCACTCCTAACAAACAAAACACTTTTTTCAAGATTAGATGACAAAGAAGTCTTGAAGATGGAAAGATATATCCAAGATACAAGCTTCAAAGAGGATTGACCCTTATATCTTTAACTGGCTATAAAGAACCATGATGTCTCTGTAGAACTGAAAATAAGCAGATCAATTTGAAGCAAAGCTGTCCAATCCTCTCACAATTGAGACAAGAAAGGTGACCTTATTGAAGCCAAAGGGCTGAATTGTTTGAATAATATATTCAACAGAACAAAATAAAAACTCCAAGATGGGGCTGATAAAGTGATAGATTAGCATAAATTATACTGTTCCTTGAGAAACAGAATGTCTTGAAAAAATTTTGTACATGTGTGCTGCCAAATACACCTTTAAGGAGAGGTAAAGGCTTTGGGATTTAAGGGAAAAGCTGAAGTAGAAAATAATATGCATTAGTGGGTAAGTATAGGCATGGCATGGATCCAGGCTATCTGAAGAGCCTACTCACTTCAGTGTGATCGGCTGTGACACTTGCCTCAGTGAAAGAATCCTACTCTGAATCTTGTCCGCCAAAGACTTTTGGTTAGTGGGACCGAGGAGAAGAGCTTTTCTGCTGTGGTCCTGCCCTCTGGAATAGTTTCCTGCTGGAGTTGAGGTTGGCCTCCACACTCCTGGTCTTCCAGAGCAGCTTTAAAACCTGGCTCTGTCTGCTGACCTGGGGCCCTGATAGAGGGGCTCAATGCTGGGACTGGCTGAGGGGTACTGAAAGGATCCCTGCCCTCTCCTATCACCTGTCCTCTTGGTTTTTAGTTCATTATTTAATCTTAATTTTTGTACTGTTTTTAACCTTTTTATCACTTTGTAAGCCCCCCAGAGTCACTGCAACAATGAGATGTGGGTTATATGAATTTAATACATAATAAATAAGTAGGTAAGTGTTCAAAATTGTTTCAAAACACTGGAAAGAACCCATTTCCTATTTTTGGCTTTCCAAGGAGTTGGGTAAGACAAGGCTGTATTGATACAATCTATCTGTCTTAATCAATTGCTAAACGAAAACCAAGCCATATGGACAAGGGAATAAATTAAACCACTATGCTAAAAGAAAGCCTAATGCCACAAATCCTACCAGACTGATTCTCAAAAGGCTCAAAAAATGGCCTTTGGAAATCTATGAAGCACAAGCTTTCTTCTGGTAATAAGAGAGAAACATAACGTAGCTTATCCTATGCTATTAAGGTCTTGCATAAAAACTTTGCATGACATTTGGAAAGTCTCTTTGCTTCTGGATCTCATTTGTGACAACCATTCACAAATTCCTGAAGGCATCGCTGAAGTAGCTTGAATCCAAAGGTTGAAGGTTTTCTGGTGTAATTTTAATGATGTGGAAACAAATGCAAGGATGCAAAGTCCCATTTTCCAAAGGGAGAATTTAAATAGGGCCTTAAATGCGTTTCCCTTTCTTCTTTTGAGGAAGAGACACAAGGTCTGACATGCCTGAAAGCATTCTGTTAAATTCCTGCTTTGTGAACCGCATGTTTCAACAACAATTTTTTACATAGACTTGACTGTAGGAGTTTCAACTCACATGCCAAGAAACCACACCTTTAAACTAAACTTGCTTTTAAGCAACTAAACTCTTTGAAGCAACTAAATACATATTTAATACCTCTTTTATTACTTTTGATTCAGACGCAATGTGTCTATAAGGTAATTTTTGACAAGATGCAACTATAGCATCCCTGTTTTCTTAATGGTAATCAGACTAAGAACAGAAGAAGGAATAATAATAGAAAAAAAACTATTTTTTAATCTACTATAAGCAAAAATAATAGTATGTGGCAAAATGACTAAATGAACTTCACTTATTTCAACCACAGGGTGGATGCATATTTCTGTTTTAAATATGTTTGTCTTTTTCTCTTCCCCCTTTTCTCTGTTCATGCAGAAAAACAGATCATTTCTAAGTTTTTTAATCTGCCTTAACTTGTTTAAAAAAATGTAAATACTTTGCCAAGTCTTAGGACGATGAAAAGATTAAGTTCATGAGAAACTTTTCTTATTTCTATTTTTGAGGTAAAAGAATAACGCCCAGTAGGAAGTTTGGGACCATATTTGGAGATATAGGGAGAGCCTGACTCAAAACAATTTCCTGGGAGATAAATGATAGTAGATATTTTTTTAAAAAATTACAGAGAATCTGAGACCACCAGAACAAAAACAAAATTAGCCTTATGTTTTCATCATTTCCCTAGCCAAAACCATTGTATCACCATGGGACTTCAGCTGACTCAGCAAACAGCAACCCAGGAACTGAAGTCAGAAATGGGAAAATCTATTACCTCAGATAGGCACCCACTTGGAGTACAAAGCGATTCTGAGATAATACTTTGGGCACTGACAGTTGCTATCTTTTCTGGTAGAGGACAAGTAAGAAGAAGGCAGGCAGCTTCTTTGAAAAAATGCATCATAATATATAATTGCCCTCTGTTACAGAGGCACCTTCTTCAGTTGCAAGCTGAATGATGTAAGTTGCAAATGCTACCTTTAAGACAAGGGTTGAACATTAGAGTTAAAGGAAGAGTTGCTGCTTGTGGTTAATAGATCAAGTCATCCTGGATGTTTGTTTTCTCTTGTGAAATGTTTTGCACACTTTTCTTCTTGCAACACAAAAAATAAAATCTTCTATGACAAAGTACTATAAAAGTAGAACTATCACACAGGCATTCTTATTGCTTCTGGGATACATACTAAGCTCAGGACTTAGAAACATAAATGGACTTTAAACTTAGATGAAGTGCTATTTTATTTTGATTGATTTAAAACATTTATACAGCTGCTAAACATTCTCTCTCTCTCTCTCTCTCTCTCTCTCTCTCTCTCTCTCTCTCTCTCTCTCTCTCTCACACACACACACACACACACACACACACACACAAACACAAAAGCATTATAAAAATAAACAAGATATAGTAAGAATTTTGGAGCGCTTGGTACAGGGATGTCAAACCATGACCTGCGGCCCAGGTACATCATATGCTGGCCCTGCCCCCTCCTGGTTTAGCAAAGGAGAAAAAAGTCCTGATACGTCACGTGATGATGCTGTGACAATGTGAGTTTGACACCCCTGCTGTAAAACAACCAACAAGTCACAAGAGTAACACATTCAATTGGGGGACACCAGTTATTTCACACCTTACAGTATATCAAAATCCCAATCCACAGCCTGAAGGACCATAATAGTTTTTAAGGCCTTCCTAAAGACTAGCAAGATCAAAACTAGTCAACCTCAGGGGGTAACACTGTTCCACAGCACAGGTGCCATAATTGATTTGTGCCATGTACTATGTTCACAAAATGTAGTTCATTTCGACCAAATCTCACTAAACCTTTCCCAAATTAGTATCCTCCAGAATTGTTGCTTCAGAAGCTCTCAGAATTCCCATTTTAGTGTGGCTATTGGTTGGAAATCTAAGGATCAAGATGGCTAGATTAGAAAAAACTGCCATAGGTTGAAAGGAAATGTAAATAAAAAACTGCATCGTACACTGTATTTTTTACAATGTAGCACAAAGAGTTAAAACCATGGCTAATATGGATCTCCAATTAAGTTCTTCATATCTCTCAAGTTCTACTTTGATCCGTAAGTCAATTGCATAAAAAATCCTTATGTTCCCTTAAATGTTCAAATACGATTAAACCCAAGCTGTGCACAGATTGTCTTAATGCGATTTTTTCTCCAGCTTCATCAGACATTGGCTCAGGAACACATATGCTTACAATGGATGCTGCATGTATTGCTCTAGACACCATTTAGGGGGACTATATGATATTCCATGTCAGCTTTCTAAAAGATGTGCTTATCTGTAGGATTATAAAAGTGGTAACTACTTACCATCTTCAAAAACTGCACCAGTTTGAAAAGACAGCTCAGAACTATGCTCTGCTTCACATGGATACACTGCCATGGCTTTTCTATTGACAATATTGAAAAAAAAGTTGTACAATTATTTACAGGTCCTCAATTTTATACGACAATAAAAGGAAATAATATTGATTCTAGTCAGGAAAGAAAAGACCTGATGTCGGTGTGTATGTGTGTGTATTTATCTACAAAAACAATAATCAGCAGTTAATGCAGAAGATCCAAGACCAGAGCAAGAAGAAACCTATGGTTCAAGATCTTCATCTACCTATGAATGCATTTCTTGCTCTGCTGAAATTGGCTGTGCATTTTCTCTCTGATAATCAATAATCCTGTTTGTTTCAAGTGTCATTTGAAACATGAAACGCTGCTGTCTCAATTGATGCTAGTGTTAAAATTTTTATTCAGGAGAGGATTAATGTTTTGGGAGGCTTCACTCATGTTATGCACACTTTTCAGCATTATTTATTCATTTTCTTTTATGGATTTGCCCATAACTAGCTTTCCCTAAAGCAAATTACAAAGTATGCAGGAGCCTGTTTACCGAAGTTCATTAAAATTATTTCTACATTTTAGTTGGCATAATTATAGTTGCCTAGTTTTTTGATATTATCTGTACCTAAAAATCAAATTTGTATTGAAGACTGATTAGGATATACTCACTGTAGCATTTGACACATTAAATAAAAATAGTATTTTGGCTATTAAGCATGAAGAAACTGAAAACCATTATAATCATTTTTTTCTTAAAATTATAACCGTAATATTTATATGAATATAAAAAAATCATCCTAGTACTTGCAAAGGGAAAGTTTAAACATATACTGATTTTTCTCTTTAAATATGTGAAGTCAGTACAGGTAATGCTCACAAAGCCACCACTCTGCTAAACAAATAATTCCCTCAACACTGTTCAACTATTACAAAGTCTGCACTACTTTAATGTTAATCTTCTCATCACTCCTTATCACCCATCCCCTCTCACTTGTGACTGTATGACTGTAACTTTGTCACTTGTATACTTATGATTTATATTGACTGTTTCCTAGTATGATTTGATTGCTTATTGTACCCTATGACTGATTCTTGACTCTTGACGAATGTATCTTTTCTTTTATGTATACTGAGAGTATTTACATCAAGACAAATTCCTTGTGTGTCCAATCACACTTGGCCAATAAAGTATCCTATTAACAACCACTGTTCCAACATGCAACAACACTGAACTGCTGTGGTAATTATGACTGGTTCTTGAGGTTCCAGCTGGTGCAGTACTCATGTGATCACAATCTGGGTAATCGGCACCCACCTCTTGATTACAAACACTGCAATAACCCAGTGGTATATAATCATGATTTGCAACATTCCCTGACAGTTTCCCACAAAGCCAATGGGGAAGCTGGCTGGAGGTCACTTATTAATGGTAACTGAAGACTGCCATAACTGCTGTCACTGAGCAGCAGGATCACGTGACACTGAGTTTACAATCGCATCATTTAGTACTGGAAATTCCAGTCCTAATAAGACTAAAGCTCACTAATGAAGGACTAATGAAGACGTTACCTCATGTTGTATTATACTATTCAATTTTTATATCATTTTTCATTTCAGCAATTGTCTCAAAATCAAACATCTTTCATTCCAACTGTGGAATTTAAAATGCAACATTTTGAAATTCTTAGCAACATTTCATAAAATTTATTTGATCTCCTTATCTTCCCTTGGTAACAAAATAAAGTTACGTGAGGCTTCCTTATTTTATCTAAGAGAAAGAATATTTTTTTGTAAAATATTCCATTATCTTAATTTCCCATTCTCAAATGAGACTGGTGTACAATTCAGTATTCTCACCCACCTGGCTCAGTCCTGCATACTACGGGGCATGACTTCTACATATATATATTTACTAAGATGATTGATCAGACGGCTTTTCAGTGGCTGGGAAATTACAAGCGAACTATAGTCTGAAATATATTATTGTATCCTGAGAAAGGGGAAGAAATTCATTCAATGTGACCAGAGTTGAACCTTGTCCTTAAAGTCTATGCCTTCCTCCCCCCAGTTTTAATATTCTGTTTTGTATCAAGAATGGGAACATATTATGACAGTAAACAGTTTAACTATCAAAGAACAATTATGTATATGCTAATTGTTAGAACAGAAAAGAACAATCCTGTTTCTGTTATGTAATAAGAGATAAATTACAGTGAAAATAAATTAATATTCCAGTGTTACCTTCCAACTGGTCTATCAGTTTCTGTGGCAGAGGATGGAAATAAAAATGATAGGTTTGTTGTGACTGGACTTTGTGCTGTAGTTGACTTTAGATTTATCCAGGAAACCATTGATGAATGAACCTCACTGGATCTGAAATAATTTTATGAGAATAATTAATGATTTTAATGCAACCTGTAGTTAGTTCTGAGATCTGTAAAATAAATTCTATTATTAATTTCAGTCATTATAATATGTGTTCTTAAGCATATATCAAACATATTTTAGCTTGGATTTCTGCTTTAAAATATTCAACCTTGTTAGGCTAGTGAGAAAATTAGGCTTCCAGATATATATGAGAAGTTCAGGGAAAAGTCAAAATGGCAAGGGTGCACTCAAGCTTTTTATTTCATTTAATTATTTTTATTGTATTTTATTTTTATTTTACTTCTTTTGAAAAGTTCATTGTTAACAATAAGCCAAAGAAAATCCTTATTTTTGAAAAAGGTATTGTAAAATCTTTTTTTTTTTTTTTTGGTAAGAAGAGTCTGCTGTCAAGTATTTATTAAAAAAAACAACAACCCCATTTCCCTTTTAAAATTGAATCGAATTGGCATCCTTCAGTCTCAAGAGACTATGGTATTGTGCTATGAAACTGGTAATTGCCACTTCCCGTGTTCAGTGCTGTATGCAAAGCTGGAGTGTCTTCTTCAGAGCACAAGGCCTGGATAAACTGTTACCCAAGCAGCAGATTCCCCGCTTCCCACATCACTGAAATATTCTTATGGAACAGCAGAGCTGATACAATTAGTTCCAGCTGCATCACAGGAGTTACCAGAACGTGATTGTACACAGCCACGAACTGCTTCCGGGACTCCGGCTCTGGATTTTGCCTCGAGGTTGACTCCTGAAGCCTTTTCCAATAATAAATATAGCCACAAGGCAGTGGAGGTTTGAAACCAGAATTTTCCTTCTCCTAGAACAGTGGTCACCAACCGGTGGGGTATGGCCCACTGGTGGTCCACGAGAAAATTTTGGTGGCCCGCAGAAAAATGTCACCGCCAGAGCACCCCTCCAAAGCAATTAATCCAAACTGCATGGGAACACAAGGCTGCGCCTCCCACATGGCCCACGGGAACCCACCCCACCCACTTACTCCTTACCTGGCAAACTTGCCTGCTAAGTTGTTATTTTTCCTTTTTTTCCCCAACCATCAGCTGTTCTGCTGTGCAGGGAGATTTAGATTAGCTAGAAAGCAGGAAATCATTGGATTTCTTGCTTTCTAGCTAATCTTTAGATCTTCGGCTCTGCTTAAAAGCAGAGCCGAACCTTCCTTAGGACTGAAGCTTCTATTTGTCAGTGCAAACTCAGGTAGCCAATGGCAGATGATAGATCTCTGAATGAATCTGTGATTCTGTGAGCAACTCAATCTGCCTGCCTGCTTTGCCTGATTTTGGGTAAAAGCTGCTCTTGTTTTTTTTATTAAAAAAAATCAATATTTACATACATGGTGTGTTGTGGGTTAATTTTGTGAGTTTACTTGCTAGCAAATGTTATGAGTTTGCTTGCAAGCAAATTTTATGTGACAGACTCAGGCAGTCGATGCAAGATAGATCTCTGAATGAATCTGAGATTCTGTGAGCAACTCAATCTGCCTGCCTGCTTTGCTTGATTTCAGGTAAAAGTTGCTCTTTTTTATAAAAAATTCAATATTTACATAAATATTTATGATATTTACATACAAGCCATGCCCAGCCAGTCACCAAGCCACACCCACAAATAAGGCCACGCCCACAAAACCAGTTAAGAAATTTGAATCCCATCCCTACCTCTGTGTGTGTGTGTGAGAGAGAGAGAGAGAGAAAAAGAGAGGGGGGGGGTCAGATCAGACCTCTCTGTCTCTCTCTCTCTCTCTCTACCACCAACATCAGCAAGCCACCATTAGTCAAAATTCATATTAGTGGTCCCCGGGATTTAAAATTATGAGTTTGATGGTCCCTGAGGTCCAAAAGGTTGGTGACCCCTGTCCTAGAAGATGGTTCTACCGTTTTATCTTTTAAAATAGAAGATTGAGATTTTGCAATAAAAAAAGTAAATTAAGTTTCTGTATTTGGCTTATGAAATGGTAATTCACGAAAGATAAATATTACAGTAAGGTAAAGTATTGAAGAGCTATATGAGCGGTTCATATTTCATAGCTAGTATGAAAAAATAGTAATTAAGGATGAATGTGAAAATCTATGAAAGAAGAAAGATGATTTGCTGGTCATTTCTTTGACAAGGAGAAATTATTATAAGGTATAATTCCATTTCTAAAAGTTCAACTTGGAAATTGGACAAAATTAAAGTAGAATTTTAACTGATATTCAGGAACTAAATATTGGAAAAGAAAGTTTATTGGATATTACCTGACTTTTTGCCAAGGTAACCTTGCTAAATATAATTCCTTTATCTCAAGAATCAGCGAGCAAGTAAAGCAGAAGACAAAGGCCAAGGAAATAATTTATACCAACTTTTGGGCAAGTTTATTTTGTTTCATAGAACAGCATAACCTGTCTTTGTTTACAGGATTCCACAATTCAATTAAAACTGAATAAAGGAACAAAGATGTAAATGTTTCTTGCATGTAATTGAGTGGGAGCATATGCTGTTAAATAAAAACAAAAACAGGAAAATAATAACTTTTCTTTAACCACTATTACTTGGGTAATAATTGGATTTCATATTTTAAGGGCATTGGCTAATTATTTTGATTAAAGGAAATTAAGACAGATAAGGGCCATTACATACAAAAATCAAAATATGCATGTACCTACAGTATGGTCATTCTACACTTCAATAGCATATTGTTGATAACTTCCAGGTGTACTAATGTAACAATATTTCATACCTATTTCTTAATCAGTTTAAGCATAGAGAGAGTGGATGGACTACAGACAGAAAGACAGATACCAACTAGCACAAAAATAGTATACAACTAAATCTGCAGCCAATCCAATAAGGACTTTCTTACCCATAAAACACGATAAAACATAAGGCCAAGAAAAAGCAAGCCTAAAATTAATATAAAGTTGATGTATATTGGGTATTCTTCCTGAGAAGTTTGAAAAAGTTAAGCATTTTAATTTTGTTTTTTTAAACAAGATACAATTGTTTATTTTATCCAGTTATGCATTTATGTATCATCATAAACTACTGATTACTGATTTTTCCAATCATCATACCTAAATTTCAACTTAATCAGGGAAAGTCTATATATAAGGGGTGTCAAGGCCCAGCTGTTTAGATTCTGGTTCATGGGGCTGTCCTGGAAACAGCGAAGGACTGGCCTGTGGTGTCACAACCAGCAACAAACGGAGCTCAGGACGGCCGTGTGTGGTCCGCCTTAGCTCCATTTTCACTGGCAGAGAGTTGCAGGAGGCTGTGACAGCTGAAAAAAGAGCTCTTGAGGGCCGCAGGTGGCCCTCCTGAGCTCTGTTTTTACTGGCAGAGGGTTGCAGGAGGCCGTCCCAGCCGAAAATTGATGGTTATGTGGCCATCATGACATTGCAGAGCACTGTTACCTTCTCACCAAAGTGGAAACTAAAAACTAGCTTCAGCACAATAAATATTAACTAGCATTAATAAAAAGAAAAAAGAGAATTGTAATGATAATATAATAATACTTTCTAAAAAATGCTTTTTCAGCTTATGGTAAGACAGAAGTGCTGATGGTAAAGAAGAACCTGGAATAGAGGGACTGAGGTTCAGCCTGATTTTGAAAGGGTTGTATATCTGGAAACAGCAGGCTCACAGTCTAGGAATTTGACTTGATTTCAGTTGTCATTGGATTCAAGGTGTCAGCTGGGCACCCCTTGCAAAATTATTTTTGAGCTGGTAGCTCAACATTTGTAATGCTTAGTCATGCTAACATCCTTTTTTGATTACTGTTACAGACCCCACAATGGATTATGCTTGAAAAGTATATCAAAGTTATAATTGGTGTAAGATGTGAAAATAAAATTGTGATCGAACAATCCTAACCCTAGGATAAGATCTGCATGAGCTACTATAATTTTAAGAGCTGGTATTAATCTTTAAAGTGCTACTGGCTCAGGGCATGCCAAATTAAAGAACTCAGTGTCCTGATAAAAGCCTGAACCATGTTAAATTGTCCAGAAAGTACCCTGTTGAATGTTCGTTCTCCTTCTGGACAAGACCATCATTTCTACGCCATGTTGGAGACAGACCAATTCTGTTCTCCCAAGATAGGGCATTTAAAAGATTTTGTAAGCATGTATCTCTTTTGTCAAATGTAGACTTCTATAAATTTTACAGCTAATTATTTTTAAAAACTGTGTTTGTAATTTATATCCTAGTTTAATTTAAAACATTAACAATATGCTGAAAATTAAATTAATATTACTGAAGTTCAAGTGTCCAAAAATATTTAGTATACTGAGTATTATGTATGTTGAATAATAAACTGAATATTATTGATTAAAACATTTAAATGTTTTAATTAAGATCTCATAATATACTGTATTAAATACATGGGTTTCACTTGTCTTATTTTGAATAACATGAACACGTGTCAACCGAAATCTGTATATGAATTGAGACAAAGTTATATAGGAAATTTGTCAAGTATGAATTACATTGACTATAGACATGGCAGAAGGAGAAGAATGCTTTTAGAAGGCCCAAAAGCATAATCAGATGAGATATTTATCATAACTGTAATGTAAAATTTTAATAAGCAACAAGTTTAGGCAAGCTTTCTTCTGGGTGTTCTGAATGGCAGGAAAAGGTTCACTCCTTTTAAAAGTGAATTGCACTTTTCATGTAAATCTTAACCCAGAATAGAATCTCACCCTGGGCTGCACTACAAAAAAATCTTTGCAACTGCACAGTCTTCAATTTTCCACTGTGGCTGTCACTGTGATTCCATATTTTTCTTTCTCAAATGACTGCACACAGAGGTGAATTTTTAGACTGAATTTTACTGGGTGCAGGAAGGAAAAAAACATTGCTTTGCAGGCAATGCTTTTCCCCCCTAAAAGCTTCATGTTAATCACAAAAATACATTGTGCTTCTCTGTGCTTTCTAAAATATGAACATCCTGACAAAATTTCCTAAAGACAAATTATTAGTAATCAAAATGTTAATGGGACAAACATTTCTGTGAAAATCTGTGGATTAATTAGGGATCGAGTTGAAATATTGAAAGGAACATAAATCCTGGGAATTAGATGTATCCATAAAGCTTTCTTGGAAACAATATGAAAGTGATTACCTTAACCTTGTTTTTTGGAGGGAGGGGGAGGAGAACTGTATAGTATAGTCCATAACTCTGGATTTGCTGGAGGTCTCTTCTACATTAATTTAACAGGAATAATCCTGTTTAGCTTTTCCAAAACCAGCAAGTCCATCTAGCCACTATCTCCTGCTGTGACAATTAGGAATAAAAAAGTTATAATATTAAATATATTGCTGAGGGACAGGGGGACTGGATTGAATGTTTATTTCCTCTGTGGTCTGCCAAACAGAGGAGGAATTATGATGTAAACATCTAACTTTAAAGGGTTCCCCTCTTTTGCAAGAACCAAACACTACAAACCTCTAAAATAGCCCAAATATAATTTCAGCTACTGTCGACTATATGTTTAAAATGCATGTAACGAGTCCCTTTTTAAAACTGAATTAAATGTTTTAAAGACATTTTGAAGGGAGTCTAAGCAATCAAGAATTTGCAAAATCATTTTAAATAATTAAATCTAAAGAAATTAGCTAATTCTGTTGCATGGAACTTGAAAAGGAACTAACAAAATTGCTTTCCACATTTCTGGTACTTACAAATACTATAAGACAACAAGAAATCTGTACTTTACATGTTTTTTGTACAGCAGATAGACTTTCAAACAAAAAATATGTACTTACGGATTGCCACTGTCAGTTATGAGATTATTTTTCTCTGTGTCTTGAGGGCTGGTAGGAGCAGCGGTTGTGGGAGACTGAGAAGATAGGGAATCCATGCTACCTGAGCGTGTGTATTCTTTGGCAGGGATAAGATTGTCACCTAAAAATAAATATTATTTTACTGCTTCCATTTTTTAAATGTAGCACAGTTATTATGCAAAATATAAGCCACCCAATATTTGCTCTGAAATCTGATTTCTGTGAAAAATGCTTTAAGGATTGCAGTCATTTGAACTATATTAACTTGCAAGTCATTTAAGATAAATTCATACAAGTGGACCTGGCTACAATTGAGCCCAAAATTTCTGCTGCTAAGCAAAACAATTGTTAAATGAGATTTGCCCCATTTTATGACTTTTCTTGCACAGTTAATAGGTGAACTTGGTTGTTAAGTTAATCTCCTCCATTGATTTTGCTTGTCAGAGGTTGAAAAAGGTGATCACATGACCCCAGGGCACAGCAGCCATCATAAATACATGCCAGTTGCCAAGTGTCCAAATTCTGATCAGATGACTATGGGGCTGTTGCAATGGTTGTAAGTGTAAAAAACAGTCAGAAGTCACTTTTTTCAGTGCTGTTGTAACTTTGAATAGACTACCTCTTTTAAAGAATGTATGGAACCGCTGCACACTGGAAGTGAAAAAGAATTATGTATACAATTTTAATCCATAACCTTTGCTCTTTAAAATTATCGCTAGCTGACATCCAGCCATTTATACACTCATTTTAATATCCAAAATAATCATTTAATTTCAGCCTTTGCAACATGCTTTTACTTGATTATTTTCCTCTTGACAATAATCACTAGAATGTACAAATTGGCTGCATTAAATTAATTCAAGTTGAAACAATGTTTAGATATTCCAATGTACAATCAAAACATCAATTCTGTAACAAACTCTTTTCACAGATCCCTTGCTAAAGACTTCTCAGCAATTTTTAAGGAAATCATTCTCTTACCATTTAAAAGCACTCAGCACTTCAACATTTGATCTGAAGCTTCTTTCTAATATTTTTATTTAGATAAATGTAATAACAAAGTAGACATAACTCATTGAGATATATAAACTGAACCCTGATAAAATGTACTGAGCCTCGGGAAATGGAAGCTTATCATTTTTTCTAGATGGGGTGGCAGCGCCCCAGACAAACAAACACAAACTTCAGGATTCTCCTAGATTCATAACTCCTGCTCAAAGAGGAGGTGGCCAGTGGTGGGATTCAAAATGCTTTACCATCAGCCTTCAGGAAAAGCCTAAAAACCTGGCTCTGCTAGCTGGCATGGGCTCCTGAAGGAGAAGCTGTTGGATGGAAGTGGCTGAGAAACCAACAGAAAAGGCACCTCTCCCCCCAAACCCTTGGTTTTTTTTTTTAGTTTGCTTTAATTTTTGTAATTTTAATCCATTTTTATATTTATAATAATTGAATGTTTATTTTATCTTGATGTAAGCCTCTTAAGAGTTGCCTGAACTGTTAGGTAGACTGCAAATAATTTGATAAATAAATAAAATATATTTTATTTGTTGTATAAATAAAATTAAACTATACCATATTTAGATTAATTGTGCTGACTATTACAACAGATCTATTACATTGTTTTCTGTACATTAGATACTCTAAGCTGGTGTTTAATGTTCACTGGTATGCATCCTTGCATGACATGATAAGAGCTTGTGGTAAATTAGATTTTATGATAATGATACATTCATAAAACTCACAGTAGAAAACACACTTCCCTGTAAGAATATACACTTAAAATGCAAAGTTTTTAGATCTATTCTAATTATTTAGTTTTTGTAACATAGATTAATGTTTATATCTAAATTTGTACTAATGTGCAAGATGCAGCACTTTTTCCCCCCAAAGCACTCTGAAAAATCATGACAGAGACTAGCATCCTAATTCCAAGGTATCAGTTAATTTCTGATTTTTAGGATGCTAGTTCCTGGGAGGTATGTCAGTTGACAGAATGCTAGAAGAGAAACTACCGTATATACTCGAGTATAAGTCGACCCGAATATAAGCCGAGGCACCTAATTTTACACAAAAAAACTGGGAAAACTTATTGACTCGAATATAAGCCGAGGGTGGGAAATGCAGCAGCTACTGGTAAATTTAAAAAATAAAAATAATTAATTTGGGAAACGATCTCACTATCATGAAAGGTTTAATTGATTCACTAACCCAAAATAAGAAGATGATGATGACAGCGGGAGGCAAGAGTCACTCTCTTCCCCTCCCTCGGAGGCCCCCTGAATCAAGAGTCGCTACCGCCGGCGCGGCCCCAGTCCCGCGTCGCCTCGGGAAGGGAAAGGCAAAAAGGAAGAGCCGCGGCAGCGCTTTGCAACAGCAGCAGCGGCACCGGAGGCTCAGGCTCAGCGGCTCCTGGTTTTGCCCCACCCTTCCCAAGGCAACGCGGAACCGGAGCCGCACTGGCGGCAGCAACTCCCAACAGCCCCAGCCGGACACCTGAGCTGAGATGTAGGGAGAAGGCAAAAGCGACGGAAGATCCTTCAGGGGAAACTGAGGGGGAGACTCACCCTTGGTCCAGATGAGCCCCCTTCCCCGCCCCTAAGGAAGCAGAGGCAGCCAGCAAGGGCAGGCAAGCCCCGCTTCACAGACTCCGTCCGTCCTCACTCCCACCCACCCAAAGCCACGAAGTCCCCCAATCGCGCAGCCCAGAATCGCCCTCCCCTCAGGGGGCAGCAACGACACCCGGTTTTTCCCGAGACAAGAAGCTCCACCGTGCAATGAAAGCGCCCTGGCTCTAGGCTCAGAAAACAACGCGAGCCGAGGTCGCTTCGGCTCCGCTCGGCTTCTCCAACATCCGGCACCGCCCTGTTCTATGTGCCGGGCCAGGCAAGTCCGAGCAGCCAGCGCGTGGAGCAGGACAGTGCCGGACATCGTTGGCTGCCTCTTTTGCAGCACGGGAGGCCTCCCCCGGCTGACCAGCTGCTCTCCTCCTTCTCTGCCTGTTTGTTCTGTGTGACCGAGGAGGAGGAGACCGGCCGGCTGGTTGGGGGAGGCTTTCTGCGCCGAGGGAGGCGGCTGCTGGTGTCCGGCTTTGCTCCGCTTCTCCGATGGTCCGGCGCGGCCCTGTTCTTTACTTGGGCAGCCGGGCGCCCACAACGGCGCCCACAGCGGCAACAGGCAGTTCCGCCTGGGCTCCGCTCAGGTGTCCGGCTGGGGCTGTTGGGAGTTGCTGCCGCCGGTGCGGCCCCAGTCCCGCGTCGCCTCGGGAAGGGAAAGGCAAAGCGCTTTTTGCCTTTCCCTTCCCGGCTGGGGCTGTTGGGAGTTGCTGCCGCCGGTGCGGCCCCAGTCCCGCGTTGCCTCGGGAAGGGAAAGGCAAAAAGCGCTTATATACAAATGCACTATTACTAATTGTAAAACTATTTCTGTAATAAAGAAAGCTTGGAAATCATTTTAATTTTTAGAATTATTCTTAAACTCATTGTTCCTTGAGCCATAGGTAATAAGTAACTTAATTAGGCAAACGACTTCTTTTTTAATTATTATTAGTATAAAAAGTTGCATTATAATATAAAAAAATATAAAATAATATTGCAAAACAAGTGCATTATTATAATTTAAAAAATAAATCAGGGCACTTTTTTTTTTTGCAGGAGGACACCAGATGGCCAGCTCCTTCATTAAAGCAAAAATCCTTTTCAAGGAAGTGTTAAAGAACTATTACCTACTTTACATATTTTAGCAAATATCTCATTTAAGTGAGCATTTGTGCATATAAAATTCAAAAAATTATGCACTTTTACTCTCTACCATTAGATAATAAAGCTTAGAGCAGCACATAAGAATAAAAAAATTCCTGAGTGAATTAAATGGTAATATAGCCATTAATATAGGGAGGCGCAGTGGTTCAATGGACTTGTCGGCTGGAGCGTCAGCAGCCCAGGTTTGAGATCCAAGCACCATGCGATCGGGTGAGCTCCTGTCCTCACTCCAGCTCCTGCCAACCTAGAAGTTTGAAAGCATACAAACTCAAGTAGATAAATAGGCACCACTTTGGTGGGAAGGTAACAGCGCTCCATGACATCATACTCGCCATGTGTGACTATGGAAATAACTTCAGACAGTGCTGGTTCAATGGACTTGAAACAGACATGAGCACCACCCCTTAAAGTCAGCAATGACTATTGGAGTAAAATCCTCAAGATCTCCTTACCTATAGCCATTAATATAGTATTTTCACCTATTTTTTTCTTATAGAATATGTTAAAGAACACACAACAAAATATTAAAATATTGTGCTAGAGGGAAAAAAAACAGATGTCAAGATATAAAATGAACCAACCAGTCAAGTTACTATTTATTTTTGAGTGATAGTTTAAAGACCCCTAAAAGATAGTTATAACCCAGTCTTAAAGCTATGTCTATTGCAGCATACCCTCTGCCTATTCCCCACCCTATCCTTCCCCACTGGGTCCCCACAGGCAGTGGGCCTATAATGTAGAATTTTGGGAAAGGATTCGGTATTAACTTTACATTAAATAGTAAAATAATGTTTTTAAAGCTTGTTCTAAATAGTCTCATATTAAAGAATTAATATTTTTACTATTATTTACTAGACTTTATGTATCACTTCCTACAATTGCCATTTTTCCACACATGCCCAAAGTATATTCCATCCTCTACACAAGATATTACAATTGAAGAATATGGTTGAACACTGAAATATTAAGCCACACCTTCCTCAAAAGCAATCTGATCTGTTTGATCCTTGTAGTTTTTAGTTTTGCTTAGATGTTAAATCAATCTATTTTCCTTTTTTCCTAAATCTCAGCTTTACTTCGAATGCACTTCTGTTCTATTGCAAGGAAATCCATATTAGTTTCTTAAGGAAAACATACTAAAGGAATAGCTAGCATACAGGTGTGCATCCTATTCCTACGTGAACTTCTCATTGAGGTAGCTAAAAATAAAGGATCAAAAACTCACAATTTTATCAAGCTGGGGAAAACAGTTCACAGCAGAATCAGATATGTACCAGGGTATTATTTTAGACCACATAATTAAAATGTCAAGATATGATAGATCTAATGGTTATCATATACAAAGAAACAAGATAAAAGCAGGGTACAATGAATTCCACACTAGCTTGAGATTAAAGTGACAAGTCAAAATTTTATCTACTGGAGCATACAGAAGATTAAAAAAATATTAAGTAATAGAAAAAATAGATCCCTCCCCAATATATCTGAATGCTGGTAATGATCACTTTTTCTTTTGAGAAGAGAAACTATAGGTGAATAAGCATAGATCTATATTAGAGTATTTGTACAAAGTGTGATTGAATCAAAATAACATGGACACCCTGATGCCACGATGTAAGCATCATTTTGGCATAATTCCATCTGGATGTTAATACAAGCATATAAGTTGAAAGATCTGCATTATTCTACTGTGATATACACATTAACATTTCTTTTTTCTGCAGGCACCCATCATGCAAAGGGCTGTACACACTTGCGTTGGCTGGTATTTTTTAAGATTAACCTGAAAAAAGCCATATCTGCAAGGGGTGTGAGTCAAAAGTCAAAATAGTGACTATGTCTGGGTGATTGAAGCTTTACCCTTTTTTACATGTATGCCCCTTCCCTGGCGATCAAATATTGCTTGGAAATTGTTTAAGGAAAAGAGTACCACTCTCTGGGTCAGTTTTAACCCTGCTTAAATACATAGTTCGAACTTTATTTTTTCCTTTCTATTCATTTATATATCTGACTAATTTTGTTCCCTCTTTTTTATTCATTTCACAGTGCAGATTCTCCTTCCCTTTCCCTCTCACCACTGCCACCTGCTTACCTTTCATTTTACTGTTTCTATAGAATAAAATACTGTGCGGCAGCAATGAACATATTATTGCTAAGTTTTATAAAATGTTACTGAAAGTGAATTTGGAAAGAACATGTAAAAACATTATATGAATTCAGTGGGTAAGGAATTTTGGATATAGTGTGATGGGTGAATATAAATCTACCCCAAATTGTACTATTTTCTCCAATGTTACAATTCACTGCTATACAGGAGCCAACAGTGCTAGACAGGAGGTTCACCTAAGGGTTATAAAAGGAACTAAATTCTCTGTGGCTGTACAAAGAATTTAACATGTCATCTGAAGTTACCAAAGAAACTCAGTGGGGATTCCAATATTACTATTAACAATTATATATTGCTGTTAACAATTCTATTAATGACAGTTTAAAATCTCTAGCCTGATCTTGTTTTAAGATGTCTAAAAATCTGAACAGTGATAGGCCACTTATTTTTTCCAAAGTATGTTTGGGTTTTTATTGGCATCCTTGAACTATTGGAATTTAACTTCAAAACTTATGGCAAGCAAGTGAAGCTGCCATGAAATGTGATATCTTAATTAAAAAAATGAATAAACAATATTATGGAAAATTAAGGATCAACAGATTTATTGTGGAATGAGCTTTCATGCCATGACAAATAACATAGCTTTTAAGATGCCACCATACTTTTTATTTTTGCTCCAACAGAACTACAGATGTCCTGTTGGAAGCTTATGGTGGTTCTAACAAGTGCAAAACCCATTTTTAAAATCTATTTCTTTAAAACATTTATTACAGTACAATCTTTAAAAACACATCACCAAATATCTAGTACTTTTCCTATCCCATATGTATGTATAATACATACCTATGTACCTACCTACATATGTGTACATATATACTGATTTTTCTGGATGACAAGTTTGAATTTGCTATTTATTTAAATACAAAATGAAAAGTATGGAAGACAAAAGGCACTTGTATTTATATATAAAAGCTAACAGTTTATAATATTTGTTATATGCTTACAACTTGTACCATTTGTTCATCAATAAATACATTTCATTAAGTAAAATTTTATTGCTACATGTTATCTATTTGCACATCACTAAAATTAAGCTGCCTCCAATATTTCTGGGTGTTGAGCTCACTATTCTTTGTGAAGAGATTTAATTAATTAATGTAAGAAAGAAATAAAAAATACCAAGTCTAAAAAAACTCTACTAAACTCAAATGCCCACTGTGGAGAAATACCTGAGGTGTATATAAATTTGGAAAATCCAATAAAAACTATACATGGAGCTGGTTAAGATCAGGAGTGTTAAAGAAAGGAACTGAAGATTTTATTTTACTAACTCAAGAACAACCTTTGCCACTATTTTGATGAATGCAAAACAATAAACTAATTTAGTTATTTATTAAATTTCTACACCAGCCATCTCACCTAAGTGAATCTGGGCAATTTACAAATGTCACCTTTGTAATGCAAAGCCTGAAACAACTGACCATTTGATCAGTGGCTGCAGCAAAATTTCACAAACTGACTCTAATCATTGTTACAACTAAGGTGCCAAAATTATTCATTGGAAATGTGCCAGAATTTTGGACTTAAATGTAGCAAAAACCACAGGAACCATTAAGAGGAGGGGTTTCGGAAAATGAGTGGGTTAAGATTTTATGGGATTTTAAAACTCAAACAGATAGGCATTTTGTTTGCTGTCACTGAAAAGAAGAAACTCTGGTTCACTGATGTTGCTATAGGGGATGGAAAAGCACCGTGGAAAAAAAAGTGAAATACTGGGGCTTGCAAATTTAACTTAAACACTTATGGGGGGGAAATCATCATTGGAGCTATGCCTAATGAACAACTAGACGACACAAGGACAGTTTTTTCCACCATGCTATCCCTCTGCTAAACAACTAATTTCCACAACACTGTATATTTAGTAAGACTTTTACTATTATTCTTCTCATCTTTCCTATTAACCATCTCCTTTTCTACTTATGACTATAACTTGATACGTCCCTTTACAATTTATATTGTTCTATTTAGTTTCCTAGTATGATTTATGTTATTTAGTATCATGACTACCACTAAGTGTTGTATCTTATGATTCATAATGAATATATTTTATGATGACTATGATCATGATTTATCACTTATAACTTTTATGTACACTGAGAGCTTATGAACTGAGGACAAATTCCTTGTGTGTCCAATCACACTTGGCCAATAAAGAATTATATTCTATTATTCTGTTCTGTTTCCTTGTCTGCTCTGTTCTGTTCTATTCCCTTGATATTTAACAGACATGAATATTCTAATTTTACAATAAATAAATGAATAAGTAAATAAATACTTTCACCAGTGTTTGATTGTGAATATAATTATAAATTACCCATTTAATAATAATGATGATACCTCTAAGACCATCAACAATAACATCTGTCTACACCAGGTCCTTGGAAGGTTCTCAATCGGTGGATAAAAATGCCAATCCAGTCTAAACATCCTTCTGATTTTGTGCAACCAATCGTAATAACAATACCATAAAACAGGTATCCCCCAACCCCCGAGCCACATTACCAGACCACAACCTGTTTCAAACCAGGCTGCATGAGAGATAGGCAAGCACATGCAAAGCTCCACTTGCTTCAGCGGAGAGAGCGTGAACAGTCATTTGAGTGGAGAGCGTTTATGTGAAGCTCCACTTGCACAAATGAAGCTTTGCACAACAGCAGAAGTGCCTTCTGTTTGACCATGCTCCGCTCATGCAAATGGAGCTTTGCACATGAGCAGAAGTGCTCACCGCTCATCCAAGTGGAGCTTCAAGCATAAGTGTCCTCCATTCACATACCAAGCTCCATTTGTGTGAGTGAAGAGTGTGCGTCCCCGCTGCTCGTACCAAATGAGCCGTGCGTGTCCACCTGCCACTCAGGACGTGTGCTCTGCACAGGGCCACTAAGATGAAATGTTGGAGACCACGGCTATAGCCCACTTTTTAAGAAGGAAACATATATATAGATCTATTTATCTTTATTTTTATATCTGGTTTTGATGTATCAATGTTAAACAATTAGAACAAAGGTGCATTGGAATTATATGCAATAAATAGCAAGAAGCAAGAAGTGGTGGGCACACAAATAGATAAAGTAATAGAAAATGAAGAAGTTAAAATACTCTGGAACTTTTCAAACAAACATCTTCTGTCACACAATAACTGAGACTTAACAACTGTCAATAAAAAAGACCATAAAATCAACACTTCAATATCTTGAGACAGAAGAATAGAAAAAAAAAGAAGTGGGGAAAAAATCACAAAAGCCTGCAAATATAAGTAGCAAAAGAAAGATAGCACTAATAGTAGTAAGTGCCTTGGGTGCAATCTCAAAACAACTGGAGGAGAACTCGAATACCATCGGCAGTGACAAAATCACCATCAGTCAATTCCAAAAGGCAACTTTACTTGGAACAGCTTACATCCTATGACAGCTTACATGCTGTGACAAGGGCAATAATATCTTTAATATTATTAAATAAATTCAGTCTGTCCCAGATCCTTGGGAAAGACTTTACAGGACAAAAATGACAAATCCAGTCCAAGCATGTGGCTGACTGTGCAACCAACCATAATATTTTGGAGTGCTGCTGATGAACTTCTTATGAGGAAAATGTATCAGTCAGCTTGTATACCTGTCTTTCATTTTATATCTGTACACATTGTATCACTGTTAAAGTATTTTTAATGGAAAAACCGCAAATGTAATCTTTGCATTCTGAAAAATTGTTACACTTTATTTGCATAATGAATTCTACTTTTTCATTTTATAACTTACTGTATATGTAATTATATATTACTATCAATATTACTGCTAGAGTTGTCTCTTCAAACTCACTAAAAAGCTTTGCTTTGGATTCCTATTTTATTCCATTTCTCATACAACTTATAATTATTGAGGTCAAATAGAATTAGTTTAAAAATTCAGTAAAAGCACATACATTGTCCTAAAGTTATGTACACACGATATTATAAAACACATTCTATCAGAATGCTGCCTCCATTTTCTAACTTTCAGAAACAAAAATAACAAAAGATATTGCAGAAGATATATTGCAATTCCACTTTTGCCAAGATAGAAAATATGATGAACATCTTACTGTCATCCAGTTCTAGGCAGAGATTATATACAGCAAGAGGCCTCTTATTACGTTGCCCCTGTCGTCTTGATTGTCGTGGTGGGGCATTTGGAGGAGAGATTGGCGCAGGCGTAGGCTCAGGGAAATAAGCATCAGGCAGCATATGGAAAATCTGCCAAGAGTAATAAAAAACACACTGATTTACTGTGAAGGACAACTTGTATAAATCCTGTAAGTCATTTTCAAGAAATCATTTGCCTTGGATTTATATTCAATGTCTCGCATTTTGAATATTATTTTAAATAAATCAAAATTAAAATAAACATAAATATTCACTGTTCTGCCAAACACTTAAACTCACAGACCAAAGAATTTTATGTTTGCCAGATGGCAGATTATGAGATCAATCAGGGTTATGAACTAAGACAAGAGATAAGCTCTACAATTTTTTCAACCTATGAACTTTGCTCAGGTCTTTTGTTCATTCATTCATTCATTCATTCATTCATTCATTCATTCATCCTATTCTTAAGAAGCAATTACTAATATATCACCCTAGTGCACAATTTTATCAGGTGAAATTTATAATCAAGAAGAGGGCTTTTTCACATGGCACTTGGAAAAATGTCCTTTATAGTTCTAAAATTCTACACTATTATAACACTTAGTTTCCCAGGCATTTAAGCTCAGATATATTTTTCCTAATGTGATTTTTTTTGCTAGAAACTTTAACCTAGATATTATAAGAAGGAAATTGAATCAGAGAGATTCAGTATCTTTCCTTAAAATCTTTTGAGGACAAATGCTTTTTACATTGACAGACAGCTCTACCTCTACCAAACACTTTTTGCATTTAGATGGGAACCAAGTCTGGCATTCAATATTCTTCTCTTCTCCTTCACATTTCCCCAAATTGTTACTATTATAAACCAAAAAAAAAAAAAAAAAAGCCAAAGTGATGGCCTCCCAAAATATGTATGTAGGTGGGTCCACGCAGACATTAAATTCTCATTGCTCCAGAACATAAATCTTTGTTAAGATAAAATGATCAATCACTTCCACTCATCTTGGCTACAGCTGATGTTCATTGCCTAAGTCAGGCTTGTCCAACCCGCGGCCCATGGGCCGCATGAGGCCCAGGTCGCCTCGTAATGCGGCCCAACACCCACCCCAACCTTCATGAAAGATCCAGCGAGGAGGAGGAGGAGAGGCAGGCGCGAGGCGGGGCGAGGCGAGCAACAGAAAAGGCGGGCAGCCGCAGCCCAAAAGTCCTGCCTTGCCACCTCCTGCTGTTGCCGCCGCCGCCACCGCTGCTGCATTTGCAGGAGAGGTAGGCGCGAGGCGGGGCGAGGCGAGCAACAGAAAAGGCGGGCAGCTGCAGCCCAAAAGTCCCGCCCTGCCACCTCCTGCTGTTGCCGCCACCGCTGCTTCTGCCCCCGCTGCCGCTGCTGCTTCTGCCCCCGCCGCCACCGCTGCTTCTGCCCCCACCGCCACCGCTGCTGCTTCTGCCCCCATTGCCGCTGCCACCCCCGCTGCTTCTGCCCCCGCCGCCGCCGCTGCTGCTTCTGCCCCCGCCACTGCTGCCGCTGCATTTGCAGGAGAGGTAGGCGTGAGGCGGGCGAGCTTTCTTCCCCCCCTCCCCCCCCACCCCGCAAAATTTGGCTGGAAAATTAATAAAAAATAAATAATTTGCAGGAGGAGAGGTAGGCGCAAGGCGGGCGAGCTTTTCCCCCCCCCTTCCCTCCCACCCCGCAAAATTTGGCCGGAAAATTATAAAATAAAAAATAAAAAATTTTTAATAAATAATTAATAATAAATAATAAATAATTATTTTATTTTATTATTTTATTAATTTAATTTAATTTAATTATTTAATTTAATTAATTATTTAATTTAATTATGTGCGGCCCAAACCAAATTTTCATCTTCTAATGTGGCCCAGGGAAGGTGAAAGGTTGGACACCCCTGGCCTAAGTCCTTAAAAGGATTTTTAAGCTGAGGTATCAATAATTGGAGGTGGGACAAGCTTAATAGAGGATCTCTTCTATATGCAAACATGATTTTTTGAAGGCTATTGATAGGGGTTTTTAAAGACTAAAACTCAGGTTCCCTATTTCATCTTGTCTGATTGGAATTAGGTTGCATTTCTTTTGGGCTTATGAGAGGTTATGTCACATCAGATGTTGGTAGGAGCAAAAAATTTTTTGTGGGGGGGTGTCTTTGGATCATTTCTTAATTTCAATCTTCCCAAAGAAAAAAATCAAGCTACTGAGCTTTTATTTTCCAAAATTAAATCTTTAGGTCTAATATCTAAGTCTCAACCCTGATAAAGTCAGTCAGCCTTCAATGCAGGATATAGACCTAGATGCCCATATAGGTAACCAGAACTTTCCACCTCCATTACAGCTCAATAACCCTCTCCTGCTCCATTGCCAGATATTTCCTACACTTTACATAGGAGCCACCTCATCTTCACCAAAATCATCAAATTAAAAGAGCAACAAATGGTAGATACAGAAGTATTCCTTATTAAATTCATACTTGTGTATGTTATGATATAGAAATTCAATCTATTCCACATTCATAACTAGAGTGCCCTCTATGCAATAAATGGAGAACAAACTAATAACAATTGTTAGAAATCTAAATTACTCCTCTGAGATTATCATTTTATCCTAGGAAATTAACTCTGGCTATTACATATGTTCCTTCCTTAATAATCGTTCAGAGATCATTCAAACGTACGATGGTGCTGAATGTGTGGCAGCTACAATTAGTCCTCATACTTACATTGATTGCAGCATCCATAGTCACATGATCACCGTGGGGAAGCTGGAAGAAGGTAATGATCATGGGATGTTCTCACTTAATGATATGATTCATTTAGTATTGGAATTTATGTTGCCAAACAGTATGGTGATGTGACACATTGTTTTACGACTGGATTGGTTAGTGACAGAACTTCTGGTCTCAATTGCAACATGGTAGCTAATTTTTTAACAATAGCCAAGTCTTGCAGATTTTATCTAATATTTCCATCATACTATTAATTACTTCAAGCTTTTACAATTAATCTTTATGTTATTATTTTTATATTTATTGTGTTGTAATATATTTTTTTATATATTGGTTATGGATTGAAAATAAGTAACGATTGTCTTCTTTGCTGAGAATATGATCTTTTTAGTCAACAGGTAAGTTTTCTGTGTTCTTTTATTATTAGTTGTTCTCTGACAGGTTGCATTAGATTTACTTATTTTGTACACTTCTGCATTCCCAACAGTTAGCATCTTAACATTAAAACAGACAGTTTTAAAACACTGTAATTGTATTCTGCTTACCCTATGATGACAGCTCATTATCATAGTCTTTAAAAAATAGTTTTAAGCAGTTCAAAAAATTGTCAGAGTAGTGCTAGTCAAACATTGGTAGGGGCTATTCTATTAAACAGAGACCACTGAAATACACAGTTTATTCACCATAGTTTGCCTATCTCCCTCAAAGGAGAATGAGTAACTTCTCTCAAATAAAATGTACTGGAAATTTCACTTAGAGATGGTGATTCTGAAAATACTTGGGAATCAAGCCATATAAGGCTTCTTAAGTAAAAGCTGGCTTTGAATTAGACTGTAAATATATCAAATCTACTGCAAGGCCTATAGCACATATGTTCTATCATTATGAAAGTTTTCATTTGCCAGTAAGTGGGTTTCTGATGTCTACAACAGCAGTTTTAGGATGGCCTTCAAAGGTAGCCTCAGATACAGATAAGATAATCAGAGTTGGAAGGGACCTTGTAGGTCATCTAGTCCAACCCCCACCCAAGCGGGAGACCCTACACCATTTCTGACAGATGGCAGTCCAATCTCTTCTTGAAAGTCTCAAGGGATGGCGCTCCCACAACTTCTGAGGGCAAGCTGTTCCATTGGTTGATTGTTCTCACTGTCAGAAAGTTTCTCCTTGTTTCCAGGTTAAATCTCTCGTTCAGTTTCCATCCATTATTCCTTGTCTGGCCTACAGGAGCTTTAGAAAATAGCTTGACCCCTTCCTCCCCGTGGAAGCCCCTCAAATATTGGAAGACTGCTATCTTGTCTCTTTACTAGATAGCCAAGCCCAGTTCCTGCAACCGTTCGTTGTATGTTTTAGCCTCCAGTCCCCTAATCATCCTGGTTGCTCTTCTCTGTACTTTTTCTAGAGTCTCAACATCTTTTTTATAATGCGGTGAACAAAACTGGATGCAGTACTCTAGGTGTGGTCTTACTAAGGCTTTATAGAGTGGTATTAGTACTTCCTTTGATCTTGACTGTATCCCTCTGTTAATACAACTTAGGATTGCATTAGCTTTTTTGACGGCTTCTGCACACTGCTGGCTCATATTTAATTGGTTGTCCACTAAGCCTCAAGTAAAGTGCATTGTGCTCTTCTAAGTTTATGGTGGTCATATGGAGTTACCATCAAAAGGAATCAAAATGAGTAAACTAATAATAAATATCTCAAAGGTACTTTTTCAAAAGGCAATTGGACTTTCTTATTTTTCTTTGAAGACATTTTGCTTCTTATGCATTCATATTCATAAAGCTAGATTAATTCTTCTTAGAACAAGGACAAAAGCGAAATGTCTTCAAAGGAAACAAGTCCAGTTACTTTTTAAAAAAGCACCTTTAGGACAACCATGACCTGGATGACTGAGAATCTCCATAAATAATAATATGCATAGAATTGAAAACTGTATTACACTGTTGTAAGAATAGGAAATAGAATGACAAAAAACATTTATATTTAACTATAACCTTTTTTAAAGTTGTAAAAAATTAATACTGGATAGATAAGATAGATAAGATAGATAGATAGATAGATAGATAGATAGATAGATAGATAGATAGATAGATAGATAGATAGATA